TTTAAATCAATACCTTCACTTTTAATATTTAAGTACAAAAAAATCAGATACTTTAATACTTTTACTCAAGTAATATTCCTAAAGGAGACTTAAAATTTTATCAAAGTAGTTTTTGGTAAGATACTTTTACTCAAGTATCACTTTGTGGTACTTTATACAACACTCTGATCCCAGTCAGGGTGGAGGACAAGAAAAGGTAAAGTAGAGATGAACGCTAAAAACCTTTCGATGCATGTAAAAAAAAAAAAGAAAACTGAAGTGAGATCCCAACTCCCAGTCTGGTGGAACAGAACCAGTCTGGTGGAACAGACTGGTGGTCTGCTGGTGGAACAGACTGGTGGTCTGCTGGTGGGACAGACTGGTGGTCTGCTGTGTTGCAGCAGTAGGCACGAAAACATTTCATCTCATGTGATCACATTTTCAGCTCAGACTTTACACATCAAGAACACCAGCCCAGTTCAACTTTTTGACCTGAGTTCCACCCAGAATGGGAGGGTTGATCGTGGATCCTCTCATGACCCGAGTGTTTCGGGTGTGCGTGAGCAGAAGTACAGGCAGGAAGGCTGTGATGGAAAGTTTTAATGAAAGCACAATGTTTTCAGCCTGACAACTTGTTCCCGCCCTCTTCTGTTTTCAGACACAGAAAAGGAGAAGCTGGGTCTTAGCGGTAACATTGACCTGGGGGGAGGAGGAGGAGAGATGGGTCCTTCAGCCGCCCTGACCCCTGCCATATGGGACAAAACCATTCCCTATGATGGTGAGAGCTTCCACCTGGAATACATGGACCTAGAGGAGTTCCTCCTGGAAAATGACATCCCGGCTTCCCCCGATGCCGCTGCCTTAAAGGAGGAACTTGCTGCCATGACGGGGGAAGACAAGATGATTCCTTCTGAGGAGGTGAAGGTCAGTGCTGTGACACTGATGCCCATTCAAGAGCTGGATAAGAGCGAGGACGAGCTGCTGATCATCACAAAGAGCGACTCTGACGTTACGTGTGATGTAAGCACAGGTGAGCTTCTTGTGGCCCACACTTGGTTTCTGTCATCAACCTTTGGTTCCACCTCATGTTTCACATTTCACCTTCCTCAGAGGTGACCACCTCCGAGGATGGCGTGACGCCCCAACCCCTCGATCCAGAAGACATAGAGGTAGAGGTGAACTACGAGCCCGATCCCACAGACCTGGTTCTGTCCAGTGTTCCCGGGGGTGAACTGTTCGACCCGCGCAAACACAAGTTCAGCGAGGACGAGCTCAAGCCTCAACCCATGATCAAAAAGGCCAAGAAGGTGTTCGTCCCTGAGGAGCAGAAGGTCAGCTCTCACCTGCCCACACACTGCTTCTTCAGACCTTCAGTCACTTCTCCTTTTACCTGCAGCACAAATCCTGTTTCCATCCAGTGGTAGAGAGAAGTTTTATCGAACTTTTCAAAATTCGCAAAAAATTAAATAAATAAAATTTTGAATCTAGACTGCTTCCATCTAGTTTCCCTCTCGAATGTTTGTTGCAAATAAACGAGGCTACGCAACGTGTGATTACGTCAGACGAGGCTACGCAACGCGCGATTACGTCAGACGAGGCTACGCAACGCGCGATTACGTCACATATCGGCGACAAGCTTTGCGGTAGTAAACAGGAAGTGAAACTTGCTAACTAGCAGAGGCTAATCATCTCGGGACAATGGAGCGATTTTTTCGTGAATGCCTTGCTATTGGTCAAGTTGTAATTATTGTATCTATTCAGCTAGTACAGGCTATGTTTAACGCTGCCAGGAGACGTAGGGAAATAAACGCAATGTTAAACTACGCAACAGAAAGGCGAGGACGAGGGACGAGGCAGGAAAGCAGAAACAGCTGAACGTGAGGTAAATATGCGCTACGTCAGAATTTATTCAGCAAACATGTTTCCATCTCCCGTTTTGCGCATTAACTACTTTGTGAATCATCCAAAAACCACCTCAAGTGAGCGTAAAAACTTTTTAGCGAATTGAGGATTTTTTATTTTATTTTGCTGTTTCCATCCGACTTTTTTTTCACATTTGTAATGCAACACTTCTAAATGTGCATCAAAAAGCCTTGATGGAAACATGGTTACAGTCACAGTGTTCTGACCCAAAATACAGCCTGCAATCTGCCTGGCAACGTAGGATACAACAGATTTATTTATTGCTTTATTTATTTATTTTTACCTTCCCAGGATCTGTAAAGCTTTTACAGTATTTGTCACTCATCCATTCTCTCTTTCACACACACAAACATGACTTTCTTACCCACTACTCAAGCTACCCCTTTTCTCCCACTCAAATTGTATAAAGCTTCCTGCAGACATGGTTTCATATCCCAGCAGTCAGTTTAACATCGATGAAGTGGTCCCTCCATAAGGTTCAGTCCCAGTCTCATTTGTCAGATAAAAACAAGCTGAAACCAGTCTGGTAGTGTGTACTGAAAGTCTGTAAGACTGAAACTTGGGTAATGGCCACAGCTCAATGACAGAGCTAAGGAAAAATAATTACAGTCAAATAGTTTCTGATGAGTTGAGGTTAAAGAACAATGACTGATCTGAGGTAAAGGTGAGGAAGAACCAGACCTGAGAGAGAATGTAGTTCATCAGGAAATAAAATCTTGTCTCATGCAGCAGGCTCTCAGCCTCAAAGCATGATGGGAAAACAGTCTTTAAAAACTTGAAATAAACCCAAGTGGTTCTGCTGTAACTGTCTGTAAAGGAGCATAAGCTTGTTTCAGTTTCCTGCAACTCACAGTGACTCAGCAGTCTCTGACTGACGGTTTGATTCCCTCCCACTCCCTGCTGCTTTTCTTTACCAGCTCTTGTGGGACCCGTAGTATTTCAGCTGATGACACGTTTTATTTTTCCCACATTCCCAGGATGAGAAGTACTGGCAGAGGAGGAAAAAGAACAATATCGCCGCCAAACGCTCACGAGACGCCCGCAGGCTGAAGGAGAACCAGATCACGGTCCGAGCAGCTTTCCTGGAGCGCGAGAACGCAGCTCTGAGGTCAGAGGTCGCAGAGCTACGGAAGGAGTGTGGCCGATACCAGAATGTCGTCAGTCGCTACGAAGCTAAGTTTGGACCCGTGTAAGGACTCCTCAGGAAGAATCAGACCCACTGTGGTGCTGCATGGTGTGGAGCGTGTGAACCTTAACAGAAGCTGGGATGGACTCACCATTATGCCCAACCCTATAGCGAACACCACGTATCTGTGCAATTAATCATCAGAAAAACTTTAATCTATTTATTTTTTGGCACTTGACGATTAATACGATTAATGCCACCAGGCAGAGTCCACTCGGTGCTCCTCCGCTTCAAATATGATGAACATTTAAAAAAAATGTTTATAATTTATTTATCTGTCAACACAATTTAAAGTTTATGTATATTCTGAAGTCTGTAATTTTTACACAATTTGGAACAAATTTTTATGAAGAGCAAATGTTTCCCACTAAATTCGTCATGTGACCAGGACGTAAGTGTGTCCAGGGACTCGGGGATTAATCGTTATCGGCTAAATACCACAATTACCGTATTTATTCAAGTATAATGCGTAAAATTTAATCCATAAAATCATCCATAAAGTTGGGGGGTAGTATTTTACTCAGATAAATATTTTTACTCATGTATTTTAACTGAAATATCGGCAAAATTATTGAGTCCAGAAATGAGACCGCATTGTAAAAATCAGTTGAAACGAGCTCACCTCTGACACTCCTCTGTGCTTCAGAGTGAGATAATAACAGATCCAGACAGGTGACATGGTGTGAAAAAAATCAATCAATCAATCAATCAAACTTTATTTATAAAGCGCTATAATATCAGCCACTGCTGAAACAAAGTGCTGAACACAAAAAATAAAAACTGAATACAAAAACACAATAAAATCACACAGTTAAATAAGTAAAATCAGCACCAATACAGTAAAAATTGAGTAAAATCAAATCTCAGTTGGGTTGAAGGCCAGTGAGAAAAAATAAGTGTTAATGAAGATATTAACATATTTGGATATAATGTTTATCGCACTGACAGGCCTAGGAAAGGTGGTGGTGTTGCTATTTATGTTAAGTCTAAATTTAATACTTCAATGGTTTTATCTGTGTCTAAATGCAAACAAATGGAATGTTTGGCCTTGAATGTGGAAATAGCAAAGTCTTTGTCTATAACTGTTGTTGGGTGCTATAGGCCTCCTTCTGCCACCAAGGAGGCATTGTCATCCTTAAAGCATCTTTTGTCTAACCTAAATTTTAATGAACTTTTATTAGTGGGAGACCAACTGGGATTGGTTAAATGCAGTTTCGGATGAATTTAAATCTTTCTGTGACTATTAATCTTAGCCAGCTGATTAATTTACCCACAAGGCCAAATTTAAAAAGTCCTGATAAATCTACCTTGATTGATCTAATTCTAACAAATGCTCCCCACAAATTCTCATCTGTGGGTGTCTTCTGCAATGATTTGAGTGATCATTGTGTTGTTG